GCATTACTTTAATGTTTCTAAATTTTAATGTATTTTGTTGTTAAGTATTTTTATGCATAACTTTTGTATCCTAAAATTAAATGTATGGTTGTTGGTAATTAGATAAAACTACATGATAGTAACTTTAGTTTATGTAGAGCCTAAATAAAAAATTTAAAATATCAAGTTATAAAATAAAGGTCATTAGCGGCGTTTGTATCAATAAACGCCGCTATATACCTGAGTTTTGCGGCGTTTATATAATAAACGCCGCAATAGGTTATTGTATAGTGGCGTTTTATGAAGAAACGTCGCAAAATATTTTACTTTTCCTGCGTTTTATACAAACGCCGCCATAGCTGTAATCTATAGTGGCGTTTGGTTAATAAACGCCACAAAATATTTATATTTTAGCGACGCTTTTTCAACAAACGCTACAAATATTTACACATTAGCGGCGTTTTTTGTACAAACGCGACAATAGAGTTGAATGATAGAGGCGTTTTACTATAAATGCCGCAATCGAGTTGAACAATAGTGGCTTTTTTTTACCTAAACGCCGCGATATATATGCACTATAGAGGCATTTTGTTTAAAAACGCCGCAATATATCGGCATTATAGAGGCATTTTTTTATAATGTCGTAAACTTAGATTTAAAAAAACCCTAAATTTTCATCTCCCTCTTCATTTTGTAGTTCACTGATGAACCCTAACACCCCCAAATTAAATTTCACCTGCAAACTTAGTTAAAAACTCTAATCTCTTTCTATCAAACTCTCTCATTCTTCATTCTCCTTCGTTCGAGCCATCTTTCCTTTCTATTCAAAACATGTATCATCTCCCGCAATCTTTTGTCGAGAAGGCCCCGACAAATTCATCTTCCACTCCTCAAACCACATAATGGATGGTGAAACCAGTTGCTCCAGACAATAATAAATGTAATTTTCAAGCCTTGTGGTGTTAATGATTTAGTAATATACTGTAATCTTATTCATAAACTGGTATCTTAGAGAAAAAAATTAAAAGGAAAAGAAAATATATGAACCCTTTTCTTTGTTTGGGTGGTTGGGTAGTAAGATTGAGGGTTCACAGACAACAACGAAGCAGACAGCGAAACTTCTTCAATTGGTCATTTCGCAAACTCGAGTGCCTTATACAAACCAGGTTGCCGCTTTGATTCAATCGGTTAAAGCTGTTGGAGAACGTTTAATTGCTGCAAATCTTGTCGGTACGATGACCTTTTCCTTCTGTGTTAATTTGGTTTTGATGTTTAATTCTGAAAATTTGTGGTTTGTATTTGATTTCAGTTTCACTTCTGCCTTGTTGCTTATTAGGAGACTGTTGGCAGATATTGGTTTAGAGCACTGAAACATTCAATGATTATAGGAGTATGTGTAAGAATCGCTGTTTTTAGGACCCTGTCATTATGTGCTCAATTATGTCTCTTTTTTTAGCTAGGAAATGAGAAGAATTTTGCATACACTCGAACTGTAAATGTTTTGTATACACCCAAACTGTAACGTGAACTGAAAATCTTAACCCCATAATATTTCATTTGCGATCTCTTGTACTTTACAATTCTTTTCAACCCAACTAAATAAACTCCATTAAAAAGTGACCAAGTTTTTGGAAAAAGTATTATATTGAACTAATAGTATTTCTTTTAGCTTTGGAATACCTTTGCTTTGGAAAAAGTGTCTCGAGACAAGCATTAGTTGTTAAATTGATTTGTTGAGCTTATTTCTTTTGTTTTTGAGGCGAAAATAGTGAAATTATTGTGTCAAATTTATCAACAGGATTTGTTGTTGTTAAATTATCTTCCTGTGAGTTTACTGTTTGTTTTCATTGTTTGAACACATCACACGTTTGACCCATCTTTTTATATGTAATAATTTTCGTAGGCATTATTGTGTCTCAAGGCTTATTTCTTTATTGGTACTCTTCATAGAGAAGTTATTAGTGAAGTATTGCTTTCCTTAGTCTTCTGCTGGCTCCATCTTTTCTTTTTCTTAGTTCTTATAGGATGTAATTTTTTACTGTTTTTGATGCAATATTTGTGTGTGTGTTGTGTATATATATATGTTCTGTTCAAAGTTATAGGATAAGTTGATATAGGAACACTTAAAATTAGTTTCTTTCTGAAAGTATTTGTTTCCATGAACTTTTATCTTTCCCTGCTTGATACACTGTAATTCAAGCAGTCGTTTCTTTCAAATACCCGTTTCCACTCTCCAATAAACAACAAGCAAATTTATAAAGCATAACCATTGCATTCCCATTTGATTGTTGATGCTCATCTGATATATTCGATTATTATATATAGTTTACCTAGAATAATTAACTACACCAATGAATATAGTTTACCTAGAATAATTAGCTACACTAATGTCGATATTTTCTGCAATAAATAAACCATTTTTTTGGTTTTTTTTGCATAACATGAATGTCTATATTTTCTTTCATATTTTGTTATACACTTTCATCGGTTTGAATTCTCTCTCTAGGTGTTAATTGAGTTGAGCAGCTGGAATTTAATTCGATTGTGAGGAACACTTTTCTCAAGAAACAAAGGTAATATTCTCTCTTTAAGAATGAAACATGAGTTTGTTTAGATATAAATGCATATTGATTTCAATGAAACATCTGTGAAAGTGATTAGTTCTATATTATGTATTTCTATATATGCACCCTTATAATTTTTATAAAATAACAGAGATACAATTGCTCCCATAACATTTTCTAGTTTTAAAGTCTTATAATTTAGGAGTGATTAGTTCTATACTATGCAAATATTAGTATGCACTAAATATGATAGTTTAATGCTTATGTTTAGGTTCTAACTTTTTCTATAATATTAGCATTTAACATTTGAAATTGAAACTCCAGAAATACGAAATGGATAAGACTTGGATGGATTTCTCAAGGGTGAGCTTCGAATATCAAAATGGATTCGAAAACTTTCTAAATTTAGCTTTTCTGAATGCAAGCCAAGAGAATATGATTCTTTGCCCTTGTAAGAACTGTGTTAACATTAAATGGCACATTCGTGAAGTTGTGTATGAGCATCTAGTTATTTTTGGATTTGTTCGAGGGTATAGAAAATGGATCTTTCATGGAGAGTTTTTATCAGATAGATCTGCTTCCACAAGTTATTCGACTTATTCTGCTCCTTCTTACCATCCAACTTTTAGAGAAGATGACATGGAAGGGATGTTACGAGATGCATTTAATATGCACAATAGTCAACCATATGTTACAGAAAATTATTGGCAGACTGATGTTAATGATTCCATTGAGATGGGAAGAATTGAATGCGATGAAGAGCCAAATGGAGAAGCGGCAAAGTTTTACAAGCTGCTGCATGAAATGAATGAACAACTTTATGACGGATCAAAGTTTTCAAAGCTTTCTTTCTGCATTCATCTTTTCCACTTAAAATGCCTGGGAGGGTGGATTGGGAATTCCTTTACACAATTGTTGGAGTTACTAGAAGAAGTGTTTCCTTTTGCAAAAATCCCTCAATCATGCAAAGATATGAAGAAAATGATAAAAGATCTGGGTCTTGGATATGACAAAATTAATAGTTGTCTGAATGATTGTATGTTATATTGGGGTGATCGAAAAAATCAGGAGTCTTGTCATGTATGCGGAAAATCTCGATGGATGAGTAGGGAGGCATAAAATGTTACTGAGGATGAAGCTCAAGCACCATCAAGAAAGAAACCGATCAAGATTCTCCGATATTTTCCTCTCATACCTAGGCTACAAAGATTGTTTATGTCATCCAAGACTTAGATGAAACTATTAGTGATACAACACAATTTTAATGAGTTCGGGAGGACGTTGATGAAGATATTTATGAAAATTGACATTACATAAGACTTTTGTACGATTTTATATCTTCATTTATTTATTTATAATGTTATAACCTTTAACATGTTGTCTTTCAATATATTCATTAATTAATTCGTTTTTTTATTACTCATGTTTGTTTATTATAGATATCATGCTGAGGAGAAAAATAACTGATTTGCGGGTTGTTCGAGCTTCTGAAGACCATGAAGAAAGAAATAACGAGGAATCGAATGCACCTGAGTCTTCTGAAGTTCCTGAAACTGTTGAAGAAGAAGTAGAAATTCAAAGTAATCTTCGAAACATTATTTACTACTTTGTTCATTTTCAAAACTGGCATTTAATAATTTATTATATAGTTGAAAATGCTGGAACACGCAAGACTCGAGGACGTACAAATTTGACTTCCTCCTGGGCATCGTGTCAAAGTTTTAAGAAACGATGTCGGTCAACCTATTGGCCCAGAATCACGTCTTCTAGCAGGTTACTTAGGCATAGTTGGACGTAATGCGAATCTGTTACCGATCAATTACGAGTCATGGAGCGAAATGCCTAATAGTAACAAAAATCAAGCGTTGATTTTGTTAAGGTAATAATGTCATTATAATAGATACTTTATAGAAATTCAATACTAATTTATACTTACGGTGCACACTTATTTTCTGTATAGGAGAAATTTTTTTAGAGGTCTCTGACGATTATGTGAAGTAAGCGTTAGGGAAGAGATGGAGGGACCACAAGAGCTCCTTAAAGAAGAAATACTTCAAGAATAATCTCAGCCTTGAAGAGAAGTTGCAAACAGTCCCATCAGGAATGCTCAGGTATCAATGAGAAGATACAGTCAGATTTTGGAGTTCACAAAAAGGACAGGTATGATGTATTTTTCAGAAATAATTGTAACGAATTTTAAATCATCATTAAAAGTGGTTGTTTGACATTGTAGGACCGAGAGCATGTTGGTGTTGCTAGTAGGCAACAACAAAAGTTTACGCACACGGTTGGATCAAAGAGCTTTGCTTGTATAGCTCATGAGGAGGTATTATAGATTATTGAAATAGTTTTTTGTATTCCATGTACATACTAACTCATAGTAATTATATTATGGTACATTGTAGGAAAATACATCCGGTTCTAAAGTTGGTCGAATCCAACTCTTCGACATGACACATACGAAGAAGGATGGCACTCCTATGACTGCTGACGCTGCAGAAATTATGGTACGTTTATTGGGTAGATGTTTTAAATTTACATGACTTTATTTATATTTGTATCATGCCATTTTTTATTTTAATTAATTATTCACTTTTATTTAGGAAAAATTGAGGGAGAAAAAGGCGGAGCATCATGCTACTGCTTCGAGTCGAGGTATTGTTAATGATGATGACATTGAAAACCAAGCTATTAATGACGTTTTGGGTCCTGAAATATATGGTCGGGTACGCTGTCAAGGATCATTCGTTACTCCCACCAAATATTTTGGATCCATTTCATCACAGTACATGTCATCACAGTCTCGATCTTCCCACCACGAAGTTAGTCGTTTAAAAGAAAAGTTGACTGAGATGGATCAAAAAATGACTAACTTGAAAGTGGAAAATAAAGCAAGGGAAGTAGAGAGCAGCAACAGCGGAAGCAAAGAGAGTAGCAGCGGAAGCAGAGAAAGAAGCAGCGGCAACACAAAGAGAAGCAGCGGCAGCACAGAGAGAAGCAACATATAAGCAGAGATGTGAAGAATTTGAAAAACGACTCAATGATATGATGTTGATGATACAGAAAACACAACCTCAGAATCCACCATTGTAGTCTCGTTTGTGGGCAAAACGCCACTAAACATGAACGCCTACTCCGGCGTTTGTGGGAAACCCCGCAAAATATCAACACCTACTGTGGCGTTTGTAAGTAAAACGCCGCTAAATCTCAACACCTACTGCGATATTTTTAGGAAAAACGTCGCTAAACATCAACACCTACTGTGGCGTCAAAAAATCAACACCTATTGCAGCGTTTTTCTGATAAACGCCTCTAAATAACAACACCTATTGCGGCGTTTTTTGTTCAAAAACACTGTTAGTTTTAGCGGCGCTTTTTACGGCGTTTGCCATAACGTCGTATGTGTTTTAGCGACGCTTAAAAACGCAGTTATAAGTAAAATAAAACGCCTTAAAAAACCTGTTTTGTTGTAGTGATTATATATAATGTTAGAAAACCGACTAATTGAAGCTGCCACTTTCTTCCCGAAAATTCTTTGGAGAAATTTTTCACTTGTTTTGCCGTGATTTACTTTGCAACTTTGTGCCACTAGTTTTGCCATCTCATCGCCACCTTATCTCCTTAGCAATTAATCTTTATCGTATCAATTAAAAATAGTGTCTTTATTAATATATAGTTAATGATTGAACATTTTTATATAAAATAAATAATTAAATATTTTCAATTTATTCAGAACTTGATACACGTGATCTATTTGAATAGAACATGAAATTTAACGATTAGATTATTAAAATATTAATAGTAGAAAATTTATTGAGATATGTAAAATTCATTTAGTTTTACACTAGTATAAGTGAATCTTTTCATTTATATTTTTTTTATAATTTGAATCAAGAAGTCAAATTTAAATACTTATTTGAAAAAAATGTTCAAGTAATAATTCAGATAAAAAAAAAGTTTAAGTATCTAATTGGACAAAAAAATAGGTACCAAATATATATTAAACCTTGAATTATGTGATGCTATTTAACAAATTCAATAAACTATTAAAAGTTTAATTATTTATATATTGTTTAAGAGTGTTTAATGAGTTACCGATGTTTTATTTTTTCTTCTCTGCTAATTATTGTTTTTATATATATAAATGGACAGGATTTCTTGAACATGTTCTTCCAAAATGTGTACAAACCAATCCCTGTCGTGTACAACCTGGTTCTTGCAATGTTATGGCGCCACACAGCCAACGTTGAGCTTCTACAAAGTAAAGGTGGCCCAGCAGCTGTAAGTATTCCTAATTTCCCCCCTCAAATTCATCATTTTTAGCACAATACGTACGTAATTCCTGAATTATTATATATTCATCCTCGGATCTTAAATAATCTCTCTCTTTATTAAACTTGTGTTTATGGAAAACAATGAAAAATATAAGGATCAAAACCCTGGAGGTACACCGGCATGGAAGACAACATGCAGAGAGAGGACATAAAGATGCTAGTGGCCAAATGGTGGGATATTTACTATGTTCCATCTCTAGATTTCGATTCCGGAATCCCGGTTTAGGATGCAGAACAAACAACATTTCCGATCATGGCTTCAATGCCCGATCAGCCTGAAGTTCCTTATGTTCCTGCCCCTACTGCTGCTTAATTAACACTTGAAAAAGTACAGTTGAGTGCAAAACCAAGGCAGCTTAGCTCTGCCAAGATGTTACAGGGTTTCTGCTTATTTACATTAAGCAAAGTTCTTAAAATTTAGCTTCTGGTTTCTACAGTGTTAAGATCGTAAGGTAGCAACCTCCAAGTCAACATTTTTATGTTGTTTAATCAGTACCGTTCCCATCGCTTCTCGATTGATTCCAGTTATCCTTCGTCGTCCCCGTCGCTTCTCGATTAATGCTTGTAATTATCGTTCTCTAGACATATTTATCCTTGTGCTGGTGCAAACTTTTTGCTTAAGGTGGGATTCTAGAACTGTATAAATATATGTTGGTATGTACAAATTGGTTAACTAATAGATTCTGATGGTATAGACAGCTTTTTTGTGAGACAATGTAAATGTATCAACACTTATGCACCTGTAAGATGTTTGGAACACATTCATTTCAGAAAACTATTCAAGGTTAAAATCCTAAACTAGTGAGAACAGGAACTGCAAAGTATGCAACTTGATATTACAGAAATCCAGTACTATTAGTTGTTCTGTTGTGACTTTGATTTGCTCAGATCTCTTACTTGAATGCACTTTAATTCCGATTAAGAAAATTTCTAAAAAATATTATCTTGTAATTAACCTAAACTACTCTCTCTCTATATAATAGCAAACCGCAGGTGAATAATACGATGAAATCAGGGACAATACGAAAGAAAAGGGATTGACCCAATAAAGATAATATCTTTCACCACTGCATAATCTCAAGACAATCGCCACATTACAACTCCACATTTTATTATATAGCAAACATATGATCATAGAAGCATCAGCAGGAACAACCATTGTTCATATATATATATATAACGGATATAATTCATGAAGCTCTAGTGCAGACATCCCCATCACAGACCCAACCTTCCTTTGTATTTCCTTCCTCCTTCACATCACCTTTGGTTTCTTTGTCTTCTTCCAGGCCACACTTCGGATGCAGATCGAAGTCGCATTCTTTACAGTAGAACGACCAGACTTCTCCTGGTTCTTCACATCCGTCGCAGACGTAAGAACCACGACGAGCGAGCTCCAGCTCGTGCTCCTCGTGCACTTTGTGTTTCAGTTTCTTTGGCCACCCCTTTGCCATCTCCTCATACTTTGCTTCAATCTCTTTCAACCGCTGCTCGGTGAAAGGGTAAGCATCCGCCCCATGAGCCAAGACCAGACCCCTCGCCTCTGTCGTAATGGTTTTTCCGGTCGGTCCAATGGCTATAAGCATTGGGATGCCTTGGACCTTGAATTTGCGACTCAACAATGACTTCCGAGCATCGCCGAACGGAAGAGCCAACCAAGGCATTCCAAAATAATATTCCTCAAAGGAGGTTTGGTCCCTGTCACTAGAAATAAAAATCACTTCGAAAGCTTCATCCTTTTCCTTTATCTTCTTGTATACTTCAACGAGATTGGGCGTGAAAGAACGGCATGGCGGGCACCAATGGGCCGAGAAGTACAGAAGAACGGTCTTTCCCACCAAGTCGGTGACCTTTACCTGAAATAGTAGATTGATTTATCACTCATCAGAAATACGTTGGCTCAGCTTATAGTGATTACATACACCCGACAGTTCGAACGAATGAAAAAAAGCGGAAAAAACTCCAAATCAGCGAAAGGTTTAAATCATTTCAGTTAAAGACACAATTTGTGGCTAACATGATGTCGTCATTGCTAGCATCTAAGGAAACCAAAAAAATCATACCTGAGCCCCATCCTTCCCGATGACATAATCCAGATCCCCTGAAATCAGAACCGATTCGAGAGTTTGTGCAGCCTCTTTTGCCTTCTCTATTTCTTTAAGCTCTGCAAATTTTTCGGGGGTGAAGGGGTAAGCCTCAATCCCATGTTCATCAATAGCATCGGCAGCGTTGGGATGGAGAGTTTTTCCGTCTGGCCCGATAATAACAACAGTCGGAAGGCCGGAGAGCTCGAAGTACCTAGCCAATTTCTCACAGTTCTTGTCTTTGAAAGGCAATGCCAACCAAGGTGCCCCAAAGCTTTCCTTGAAGGATTCCTCTTTGTCTTCAATCGATATCATAACAACCTCAAAATCCTCCCCCTTTTCTTTCAATTTCTTATAGACTTCAGCGAGTTTTAGAGTAAAATCAGCAGATGGCTTGAAAGAAAACGCCGAGAAATATAGACCTACAGTCTTTCCCTCAAGATCGGAAATCGGTACCTAGAATACAAATTAATATCAGATTACAGATTAGGATAGTACCAATGTATTAAACAATCAATTCAGTTATCAAAGTTACCTTATTTCCATCGGATGTAACAACGAAGTCACGAGATCGGGAAACCAAGAGAGTTTTGATAGACTGTTCCTTCCTGGCCTTTTCTTCCAGATCTTTTAATTCTTGGATCTTTTCTGAGGTGAAAGGGTACCCTTCCTCTCCATACTCTCTAATAATCCCAACCCCCTCATCTGTCAAGACTTTACCATTTTCATCCAAAAGCACGAGATGGGGTATTCCCATTACCTTGAACGACTCGTCCAATTGCTTGCGAGTCGTGGAATCGGAGAAAGGGATTGCAAGCCATGGCATCTTAGAGAAATAACCATTGAATGACTCTTCATCTTCATCTGCCGAGACGAAAATGACTTCGAAATCGCCTTTCCGAGAGAGCTCGGAGTACACCTCACTCAAATTCGGGGTGAATCTTCGACATGGACCACACCAAGATGCTGAGAAATACAATCCAAGCTTCTTCCCCTTCAAGCTATCGATTTTAACCTGTAAAATCGAAATTTCAGGATTCAATTATCAAACTGAAAATGTGCGAAATATGAAGATCTAACAGTAACAGTTACCCTAATCCCAATTAATTAAAGTGAATAACCCAACAAACAGCATTTCATATCATACTATCAGTATAAACTCCATACCCAGGTCAGAAAACATCCTAAATAGCTATATCTAACAGTAAAATAGACAATTCCTAAAAAACAGTAAAATAGACAGACAAAAAATCATTATTTAAAAAGATATATAAAAACAACAAAAAAAAACAAGAACGGTTGATTTAAGGAAGCAAATTACCTGATCAGCGTTGTTGCGTACGAGGAAATCCCGGTCCGGAGAAGAGAGAAGGGACTTAAAATCGTGACAATCGCCGTTGATCGTCTCGACACCGTTGTTTTTTGCCTCTGCCATTGTTGAAACTGCAGTGTTTTTTTTAGTTTGGAGTTTTGTTTTAGGATGTTTAGCTTACTGCCTACTGCTGAGTATTTATAGCATGGTGACAGATCATTCTGGAAATTTTCAATTTTTTTAAAGTCATTTTATGCTAAAATGTCGTGGATCCTACGTGGAGAAATGGCGTCAACGATGTCGCGTCATAGTTTTCCTTTTGGATAAACTACACTTTTAGTACCCAAACTATCACTTTTGTTCTGTTTTGGTCACCTAACTATATTTGTTTCAAAATCATATCTAATATTACATTTTTGTTTTATTTTGGTCACATACAGTTTAAAAATTTAGGGTTAATACAAGATAATACCATACCATCATTGATTTTTCTTTAAATGTCATATTAGCAGTTCTGGTAACTTTTTAACGATAGATGGCTAAAATAATATCAAAACGTAACATTATGTATGATTTGAAAAAAAATAGTTATGTTACTTAAACGAAACAAAAATAATAATTTAAATACTAAACGTGAAATTTACCCTTTTTTTCTTTTCGTAAAAAGTGCTATTTCCTCGAGGCTTCCTTCCAGACTTTAATTAAGGTAGGTATACGCTTTCACATTGACTCTTTAGTTTGGTCTAATTACAAAGCTCATCCTGTATTTTATAGAAAATAAGAAACTAAATTATTTATTTAGGAGAGATGAAAAAAGAGTATATAAGATTGAAGTGAAAAAATGAATAGAAGCCACTAGTCTTGTTAAAAGTAAAAATATCTAAAATTACAATAACGTTTACAATTATTATTGTAAACGAAACACATAATTTGAACATTTTCCTATAACATTGATAAAAAATTAGACATTTTAGATCATAAAAGAATTATACATGGAAAAAGTTAAAAATTCAATTAAAAGACTCAAACAAAAAATAGATACGAACAAATGTGATTGCATCGCCAAACGAACTACAAAAGGAAATTAAGTTATTGAAAGACTATTGATAACCGAAAATCAAAGTCGAACGTTGTAAGAAACTATCTACGAACACAAAATCGTGTATCCAAAATTAATATGATGTCCAAAGCAGGGAAGATCAACGTGATTACAAATAAGTGTCATCTTGATCTCGTGACGTCGTCAAATTCAACCTTGATAAATAATAAAATAAAAGTATTAGCCAAACAAAAAAACACGAAAAATGTGCCACAAAGATAGAGAAAATGAGCTACAAATATAAAGTTATGTTTAGTAAAAAAACTAAAAAATAATAAAAGAAAATCAACAGACGACGATCAATATTAAAATCAATGCCACCGCAGATTAAACAAGGTTAAAGAAGAAAAAATTGATCAAATCTGTAGCGAGAATCTACTAGCCCATTTAGATGAGAGAAAGATTATTAGTATTTCTCTGGTAGTAGAATCTTAATAATTATTTGTCAATAAATTAAGAAAATTTTAAATAGTTATTATTTTATAACCACTCTAAATTATTAAAAAATATATAAATAATTTTTATATTGATAATTATATTTTATAAATTTGTATTGATAATTATCGATGCTACCGCAGATTAAACAAAGTTAAAGAAGAAAAATTGATCAAATCTGTAGCGAGAATATACTAACTCATTTAGATGAGAGAAAGATTGTCAGTATTTCTCTTGTCGTAGAATCTTGATAATTATTTGTCAATAATTAAGAAAATTGAATAGTTATTATTTTATAATCACTCTAAATTATTAAAAAAATATAAATAATTTTTATATTGATAATTATATTTTATAAATTAAAATTGAATAATATGTCAAAATAGTTTGAATTTATAAAATAAATTTCTTCAAAATTCAAAGCATGGGCCAACCCTTCAATAAAAGTATTTAGACACGTTTTCTTTTGTCTTCTTTGTGTACTTCTTGATGAAGAAAAGAAAGGGAAATCATCACTTCCATCGGTCTTAATATACGATTAAAAAATGTTATTAATTTTATTATTATTTAAATAATAAAATCAGTAAAAATTATCGAAAACATTATTTTTTTATCAGTTTTGTTATTATTAGGCGCTTTACCATATTTGATAAAATGCTACTTATTTTATTATTTTTTCTATCGGTTTTGTTATTATTAAACACTTTTACCGGAAATGTTAAAAAAATTGATGTTTTAGATAAAAATAATAATATTTTAGATAAATTTTTACCGATTTTATTATTTAAATAATAAAATCGATAACATCTTATTTTATCCTTATATAAGGTGTTGCACTGTAAAATTTTCGAAAATAATAAAAAGCATAAACTAACGAAAAGTTTTCATTTTTACTACTTTTTTCCTTTACTTTTTATAGTTTTAGTCAATTAATTTTTCTTCATTTCCTGACAATTTTGTATATTAAGTAAATATATTATTTATATATGTCTATTAAAATTATTTTAATATGATATTTTATACTAATACATTATAAAATTGATATTTTTTGGTTATATATTTAAAATAAATAGCACATTATTGAATCTAGTTAGTTGTGCATTGGTAATTGAATTTAGTTTTGAAAAATTAAATAAATAGTTTTACATTAAAACTATTTCTTGTGCTCACTCCAATGCATTGAATTTTGTCCTTCCTGTCTTCACTGATAAGGAGCAATAAAGAAGATAAAATCTAAAAACGATCACCAAACAATCTTAAATTTATCTTTTTGGAATTAAATCTTCAGATATTATATAATAAGTATTAAATTTAGATTTTTTACAAAATGAACATCAAATACTTAGTTGTGGTTAGAGGGATAATGTCACAAATTAAAACTAATAGATAACATCTTATTTGGTCTCTCAACTGTAATTAAAATTTTATTATGATACTTTTTTAATATTTCTAAATAATAATTTAAAAAAAAAATTTCAAAAAAAAATTAAAAATCATAATTTATTTTAAATTTATAAAAATATTTTTTTAAATTATAATTTCAAAAAAAAATTTATAAATCATAAAAGTCCATTAAAATTCTTCATTATAATTAAAAAAAGTAATGCAAATACGAACATATCATACAATTAATCCTTGAAAATTAAATTTTAATTAATAAAAATAATGAAACTCTAACATGATACATATAAATTACTGTCCGAATGACTCCAAAATAAGTCACATGCATGAAAATTGTAGTCAATAACTTCCAAATCCCTACCTATATAAAGTTTATACATTGATAGTAACATTGTTCCACCAAAATAATTGTTTATTTAAAAAAAATCATTAAGATTCTATCACATAATATTGATATACTAAAATACGACATTCATAGCAATTAAAAATATTTATATAAAAATGGAGCTTCGTAATAACACTACTTTAATGGTGTTTTTGAGAAAACACCGTTATAGATGTGTACTTTAGTGACGCTTGACCACTACTTTAATGGTGTTTTTGAGAAAACACCGTTATAGATGTGTACTTTAGTGACGCTTGACGCCGTTATAGGCTGATATACAATGACGTTTTTGAGAAAACGCTATTATAAATACATACTTTAGTGGCTTAGACTTCATTACGAGGCATTTGAAAATATAGTCAACTTGTTTACAGAGGCTATCTCATTTGCCTTGCTTCCCTAAATTGATTTATGATTTTAGGGGCTATGGGTTATATGATTCATTTGGACATATTGTTATCATAATAAGTGCAGTAGAAAATTGTGTTAAAAATAGATTGATATGATATCAAAGAAAGAAGTATATTGATAAGTTTATGGAGTTCACTTGTTTATGGATTAAACATATCTGTCTTATTGATCACGTAAATAATTTTTATATTTTTATTTGTCTCGAATGCTAATATGTTTCTTTTCCCACGGGCATTCTGGTGATGAAAATGACCTTAATATCTCTAATTTAATTTTGCATAAGCTTGAAACTCTTTTACTTAACCATTGTGAAAATCTAATGAGCTTAGGACCATCCACAACATCATTTCAAAATCTCCCACCTTGAAGGTGTGGGAATGCAAAGGAATGAAATACTTATGTTGAAGAATCGGGCAAAGATAACGAAAAAACACAAGAATTTTAACGAGGTTCGGCAATGTGCTTACGTCCTCGGTGCCTAGGCGGCGCTAGAAGTTTTATTCAATATCTCATAGGTTTAGGTTACATCTCTATTTATAATAAAAAACCTGGTACATAATTACATAATTAACCTTGTACCGTACCGCGGGGCTGCGTCCCCGCACCCCCAACTCACATAATCGTAACCCCCTCTATGATACTTTCTTTGTAAGAACATTTGATGTTCGCTTCGCTCACTCCGCTCCATCCCTTGTTCTCTTTACCGGTATATTTATGAGTCATACCTAACAACTTAGATAAATGTCTAGCAGTCCAGGGTCTGTGTCTCAATTCAAACAATTGACCATAAGAGAATGCATTGCAGTGAAGGAAAATAGTTGGAAGTGAGGAAGATGAAGCAACCTCCGACATTATTTTCAACAGGTTGAAAAGTTTGGAACTTGTGAATCTATCTCAACTTAAGAGCTTTTGTTCGGCCAACCACATATTTGGATTCCCATGTTTAGAGGAAGTAATAGTGAGTGGCTGCCCTGAGATGGAAATATTTTGTAAGGAAGTTTTAAAGAGAAAATAACCTCAGTGACCAAAAATGCCTTATAATATACTATTTTAACCAACTTTTTTTGGATTTGCCAAAATGACCAACAAAATTGCAATGCGATCGCTAATTCGCAACGCGATCTCAGGTATCGCAAATCAGTTTCCAGATTCGCAACGCGAACTTCGACTATCGCAACGCGAACTTCGACTATCGCAACGCGAACTTCGACTATCGCATTGCGATTTACATATTCGCGTTGCGATAGTCTCCAAGTTCGTTGCGATAGTCTCCAAATTCGTTGCAATAGTCTCCAAGTACGTTACGATAGTCTCCAAGTGCATTGCGATAGACTCCAAGTTCGTTGCGATAGTCTCCAAGTTCGTTGCGATAGTCTCCAACTTCGTTGCGATAGTCTCCAACTTCGTTGCGATAGTCTCCAACTTCGTTGCGATAGTCTCCAAATTCGTTGCGATAGTCTCCAACTTCGTTGTGATAGTCTCCAAGTTCGTTATTGCATTTGTTTCTTAAGAATTTTCTCTAAAAAGATAGTATTCGCGTGGACGTGTCGAAGACACGTATTACCACGACCACGACCCGAGACGAGACGAACGGCGGCGACAACGCGCGAGAGTCCCCCTTGTTCTCTATCACTCAACAAGGAAGTGGGAAAGCCAAGCTTTAAATACCATTCCCAATAGTGTTTCCAATACTATGTGGGATTGAGCATTACCAACACTTGTTCCCAATAGTGTTTCCGGATACACTTTAAGTTCAATTATAATCAACATTTACTACTTGCTCGAAATACCGAGCAGAGTAGACAATATCGTGATGAATTGTTTTGTTAAGTTGGTAAAGCATGTTCTTGGATTACGAGAGGCTTATTGTAAATGCAAACCAAAAATTTCTTCCGTTTCTTCATAATTTAAAGTGCTAGTGAATTTTCAATCCCACATAGTATTGGAAACACTATTGGGAATGGTATTTAAGGCTTGGCTTTCCCACTTCCTTGTTGAGTGATAGAGAACAAGGGGGACTCGCGCGCGCCGCCGCCGTCTGTCTCGTCTCGCGCTCGTGCTCGTGCTCGTGGTCGTGGTCGTGGTCGTGGTAATACGTGTCTTCGACACGTCCGCGCGAATACTATCTTTTTAGAGAAAATTCTTAAGAAACAAATGCAATACCACCAGTCGTTGCGATTTTGGACTATCGCAACGAATTTGGAGACTATCGCAACGAATTTGGAGACTATCGCAACGCACTTGGAGACTATCGCAACACACTTGGAGACTATCATAACGAACTTGGAGACTATCGCAACGAATTTGGAGACTATCGCAACGAACTTGGAGACTATCGCAACGAACTTGGAGACTATCGCAACGAACTTGGAAAATCGCAACGCGAACTTGGACTATCACAATGCGAATATGTAAATTGCAATGTGATAGTCGAAGTTCGCGTTGCGAATCTGGAAACTGATTTGCGATACCTGAGATCGCGTTGCGAATTAGCGATCGCATTGTGATTTTGTTGGTCATTTTGGCAAATCTAAAAAAAGTTGGTTAAAATCGTATATTATAAGGCATTTTTGGTCACTGAGGTTATTTTCTCAAGTTTTAAATGCGTCAGTTTTGCAAAGTGTACAATATGGAAAAGGTAAAGGACATTGGAGTGGTGACCTTGACAGCACATTCCAACAGTTGCATTCAAAAATTGTATTCAATATTTTGCATTCCTTTAATTTAGGTTTAGGTATTCTATTTTATTCCTTAATCTCTTCTCAACCTTGATGAACTTTTAACCCTTAGTTCTTTATTTGATTTTGTAGATTGGGTACCAAGGCATCAAGTATTTAGTCCTCTCCGAATTCGCCAAGTCAATGGTATTATGGAAGGAGAAAAGTCTAGATTTCAAGAACCTCGGAGAGTTACGACTGCATCTTAAGTGATTTTTTAGGTTCATACTTTTTAATCTAGTGAATAATGTTGAACTACTTTACATTTCACTTTAATATTTAGAAATTTTTATTTTTTGTATTATTTATTATTTCTACTTAATTCATGTCGTAATTAAATTTCTTATTGTTATTGGATAATACTACATGATCTTAAATTTGGATAATACAGAGCAGAAAATGATGTATGTTAAATCAGTTAATATTAGTGGCATTTGTAAAATAGACGCCATTAGAAGTCACGTTTTTTTGCGGCGTTTTGGAAAAAATGCCACTATTAGCATACAAGTTACGGCGTTTGTAAGGGAAAATGTCGCTATATACATATTCATTATCTGTGTTTGTCGTGAAAAACGTCACTATATATCATAACTTATAGCGGTGTTTGGGAATAAACCCCACTAAAGATAAGACAATTAGCGATATTTTAGAGACAAATGTCGTTATAAAGCTCGACATTTAGAGTCATTTCATAAACAAATGCCACTATAAAACTTGACATTTAGTGACGTTTTATGTTCACAAATGTCGCGAACTGTTGCGGCGCTAGATTTAACGGTGCTCTTACTAGCGACAGAAGGATTTTTAGTGACGCTTAAAAACGCCGCTATAGGATTTAAAAATGCCGCTAAAAACTTATTTTGTTGTAGTGCAATTCGATACAATTCAAAATAATACAAGTACCAATAGAGTTTATATACCAATTATATTAGCAAAAATCATATGAATACATACAGGGGTGGAGCTCTGTTGGGGCCCAAAGGGGCCTCGGCCCCTGTTAAAAATTTAATATATTCGATATAATTTTGGTCTAATAATATTTTTGTTCATGTAAAAATAAAAAAACGCCGAACTAAAGAATGATAACCCCATGTTCTCAATTTTTTTTGGTCAAGTAACAATTTAAGTCATTGTAAGTTTAAATATTAGACAAATTAGGTGTTGTCTTGTGAATTTTTAGTTTTTTTATATAAAAATCTGAGGTGAATGCAATGTAATATATGTACAAAGATTCTCAACCATTTGACAATTAACGCTTATACCCTTACATACACAATGCTCAAATTCATGACCTTAAGGATAACAACAATCTATTAATCACTAAAGTCGTTTGGTTTGTGCTTAATTTTGAGTATGAGTACCTAATAAATCATTTTATTTTTTCTTAAATAGTGTAATATTCCGGCTCATGTCAATATTTAATCCTAACTGTCCCTGAATATATATATCATCTAAAGTAAATATTGTACTTTGATGCAAAGACACTGAAAATCCTACAACGACATTGCTCCTCGAACAATCTAAATTATTAATTTTTGAACGAAAACATTCGAATGCTGAGTTTTACATAGCTCAAAGACATTCTTTTACTCTATTATATTATTTAAAATTCATAAATTTAAACGTATTATACAATATTAACGAAGAGGAATAAATCTAAATATGCAATAACTGAATAACATCAACAGGATATCATACTAATTATCATCTGTCTATGATCTAAATGATAGAGTTTTCATTAATTTACTGATTTCACTTAGTCACTTTAATCAATTTATGATTTGATTTATACAATATCTTATATAAATGAATAATATTAACACTTGATATCACATATGGGGCTTAGAGGGCCTTAGGCACTTCGCCCTGTAACACCAGCGGTACGCCAACTCAGGCTTCCACTAGTATTTCTCCATGGACCATCAAGTGAACCTCCTACGAGTAATGGTGACATTGTATACAACGTGGGCTGCTGCCGGCCCCTCAGATAATTTCAAAATAAAATTTCCATTGGCATCACTCCTGCGTTTGCACTTAATATTATTGGATTTATTTTAAAATTTTTGTTCAAAGTCTTGAAAATATTTAATTTTTTTATTAATATGAGGTATGTGCAAGACAATATATGTATGTTCAAATCTTAACTTCTAAACATTGAACGCCCACACCCTAGACATCTATGATGCTCGAACTTGAATCCTCAAAGAATAACAATAATTCTTTTACCACATAGACTACTTGGTTAGTGCTTCAAGTTTCAAATTCATATACCAAATAATATATTAAATCAAAAAATTTTAAAGATTGACTGACCTTGAAAATCATTAAATAAATACAAATACGAATGTATGTTTACAATGATGACTTTGGTTTTAAATAAAATTAAAAATTATATTTAAATTAATCTAATTGTTTTATAATACATTTGGAAACACTAAATCGAACCCCAAAGCCACGCATATCAAACTCTGGAGAATCTCACCCGTGGCTACTTTGTCAAAGAGATGGAATAAAGACGATAAAGCATAAGGCAACTCAATCCATTAATTAAGCACAGGAAATCATACATGGGTTGCACTTGTAGGTAAGGTGTGAATACGTTAATGAAATATTTGGAACATATATTATCTTATAATCATTTTAAATTATTAAAAAACATTTATTCCAATCATTTATAAGCATATGTAAATATGTGATATCCATTTTCAAGTTTATATATATATATTCTAAAATTAATCTATAAAAAACATGATTTTTTATAGTTTATATATTAACTTGATGATAAGATCATCAAAAATTAAAAGAAAAAAGAACAATATCTTAGAAACACCTTTACATATTTAAGATCACAATTTTAATATTTTATAAACACTAAAAAGTGAAGAGAAAAAGTTATGTTGCTGAAAGGGAGGTTTAGCTATCTAGAAGGAAATGAACCATCCTTTCAAGACATAATTAATGTGATAACTCTTCTAAGTGCAAAAGATGCATGCCTAACTCTCACAAGGTTATATTTAGAGTAAATGATTTTTTTACAAAAATTTAATATGAAAAAATGATATAAAAAATACAAAAAATTATTAATACCAAAAAAATATTAATATATGATATAAATTATTAACAAATAATATGTTAAAATATTTGAGAATTGAATTACTTCAAAAAAAATGGAAACCAATGTGATTTTTCTTACAAACATTAAGGATGGATTTTAGTATTATGCTTTTACAAAAGCAAATGCAACTTCCTCCTCTTCTTCTTAATTCATCACCATATTATTAAAAGAACAAAGAGAATATATGCCTTTAGTTGTCTCTTTAATAAAGCAAGTTCTTCCTTCCTGTATTGAATTGTAAAGATAACCAAATCGTACAAGTTTCAACAACTAATACAGATTTATACATAACCCACTTGTCACACACAAATATTGTTCTTCATTTCGAGAGTGTTATTTGTACCCCAAAAGCATCCCTTTGCCAAAATCAAAGAATGTCCACTCAAACACAGCAGCAGCAGCAACCGGCTGTTGTCTACCCGAGCAGTGCGGCATATCAAGCGCCGCCGACATCTCGTTCGAATCCTTCGGGTGGATCTTTCGTGGCAGTTTTCATAGTGGTGGCGGTAATCATTGCTGCATCGGCTATATCTTGCTTCCTCGGAAGATTTTGTAGTCGACACATGAGTCAAAGGAAACCCTCCAAGGGTAAGCAAAGGCACATCAATTTACGTCCCAGAGAAGGTGATACCGAGTTCGGGTCGACCGACGGGAGGTTTAATCCGGGTGACCATGGTGAAAGCAACAAAGGGTTAGATTTCAAAATGCCTGGAAATGGAGATCCAAGGGAGTTCAGAGTAAGTGAACATGGTGAGCCTGCTGAATTTAGAATTCCTAGGAATGGATATCCGGAATTGAGAATACCTGAGAATGGGGATTATGTACGATTTCGAATGCCTGGTAATGATGATCCCATTGGGTTCAAAATGCCAGGGCATGGGGACTTTAATGGTGAAACTAAGCCTGTTGATGATGGTAGTGGAACTCTAAAGGCCGGTGCATGATGTAGATCAAAATGAAGTTCCTTAGCTCTTGTGGTAATTTTTTGTCTTGATTTACTAAATTTTCAGCCTTTTCTAGTTTCTTATGATGATCTTGCACATCACATGTATTTATTTGCTTATAGGCCTTGAACTACATTTGCTGCAAAGTATTGTGTTTCGGAAGACATAAATTTGTTTGGCTTTGCCCACGTATTTTTTCTTAATAATCAGAATGATTACAAGATAATATCTATTTAAATTTTCAAGTATCATTTTGACTCAAGTTTTGTATAAAGCAATGTTGTTCTCAAAGGAAAGTGAAGGAAAAGTTCTAGCAAAAAGAAGAAAAAATGTACACCCGTCTTTTTTTTTTCTTCATATTTTGACTAAGCACACAGTTTTAAAAGATAAGTTGAATCATATGTTTTTTTTAGATAAATCGACTGTATTATATCCAAGAAGCAACAAACCACTACAACAAACAAGAGCGTGCTCACAAAAATTGATGCTCAATCAAAAAGACCCCACTCTATACAAAGTTTAGAATTTTCAAAGCTAACCTTTTTTTGTACTTTTCCTATACAACTTGAATCTAACAATTTCCTTGATCGAATTAAAAATCACATTGGCTCCTATCGCAAAACTACGAAAAATTCTTCGATTACTTTCCTCGCAAACAAGATAAAAGAATGCACTCCAAGCTAATTTAAGAGTAATAACATGGAGAGACTTACCCGTAAGAGAATTTACTGCCCAAGTTAGCTTGTGAGTCCATGATCGAGTAGTTCTTTCTTGGCCACATAATTTAAGAATTCTTGTCCAAATGCCAACTGAAAATGGATATTCATAAAAGAGGTGGTCTCGAGTTTCGATAGTCCCATTACAAAGTAAAGTACGCAGCGATCATTTCCCGCCAACTCCATTTTCAGCAATCTATCCCTTGTTGCTAGCCGATTGAGAATAGCCATCCAAGCTATCACTGCATGCTTGGGAACATGCGGCGAGAACCAAATGAGCTTGTGCCAATCCACTTTATCACCACTGCTGCGTATTCCAGCCCAAATTTCCCTTATCGAAGTTATCCTTTGCACCATAATATCGCAGATTACAACAACCTCTCTTTTTAAAGCCAAAATATTTCGCAAGCTCCAACTAACAAAGTTTTTGTTGCGGAAGACGGCTATCGGATAGAGCAAAAATGCAACTGATAATTTGAGAAAATAAAAATTGAAGATAAAAGAGACACAAAATTTACGTGGAAAACCCCTAAATAATATAGGGTAAAAAACCACATGCAACGGTAGAAGAATTTCACTATGAGAAAAATAGGAATTACAACCTCTCTCGATCTACCGAGGAGAAAACAATGATAATTCTCTCTTGATAAAAAGGAGAAAACAACTCTCAAGAAACTCTCTAAATTCTCTCTAGTATTGGAAGAAAGCTAGAATGCTTTGGGATGGTTTTGAAGCTAAATGAGCTAGGGCATTTATAGTTGAAGCTTAAGGACTAATATTATAAATACCCTAAAGTACAATGACAAATTGCATAGTTTTACCATCCACATTTTCAACATTTTAGGTGGAATTGTTTTTCAATCCAAACTTTCGGTGCCTAACAATTTTTTTCAACAATTTACACCAAATAGTTTGGCCATCAATTTGGCCACTTATCTTGACTTTTCATCAATCTCCCACTTGAAGATTTGATTGGAACAATCATATCTTCACACCATTCTTTCTACCTTGTACCTTCATGTTGCTTACGTCTCTGACAAGCCACAGGAGGATCGACACCAAGTAAATTTATCGGCATTTATCGTCTTCGTCATGAAATCTGCTATGTTGTCTTTGGTATGGATCTTCTGCATATCTACCGTCCATTCTTCCACCTTTTCACGAATGAAATGGTATTGAACTCGTATGTGCTTTGTCCTTGAATGAAATGTTGGATTCCTTGCTAGATGCAAGGCGCTTTGACTGTCACAAAACAGAGAGACATACTCTTGATTGTGCCCAAGCTCCTCCAATAGCATTTTCAACCAAATTGTTTTTTTACTGGCTTGTGTAACTGCTACATATTATGCTTCTGTTGTGGATGTAGCCACAACTGACTGCAATTTTGAAACCCAGCTTACAGCTCCACCAGCAACTTTGAACACATATCCTGTAGTAGATTTGCTTTTATCCAAATCCCCTGCGTAGTCAGAATCGACATACCCATTTATAAGTAAGTTTGATCCTCCGTAACATAATGCAACATTTGAGGTCCCTTTGATGTATCTAAGGATCCTCTTTACTGTATTCCAATGCTCTTTTCCTGGATTCGCCATGTACCAACTAACCACTCCCACTGCTTGTGCAATGTCTGGTATTGTGCATATCATAGCGAACATTAAACTTCCCACTGCCGATGCATACGGTACTCGAGACATCTCCATCCTCTCTTCTTCACTGCTAGGACTCATACTAGAGGATAATTTGAAGTTAATAGGAAGAGGGGTAGAAATTGGCTTACAATCTTGCATGCTGAATCGTGACAAGATCTTTAAGTAATTCTTTTGTGAAAGCCAAATCTTCCTATTACTCCTGTCTCGGTGAATTTGCATCCCTATAATCTTGTTTGATGATACCAAGTCCTTCATTTCAAATTCCCTAGCCAGTTGTGCCTTCAATTCGTCAATATGATCTTTGTTGGGTCTTGCAACCAACATGTCATCCACATACAACAACAATATAACAAAATTGTTATCACCAGACCTCTTGAAATAAGCACAAGGGTTTACATTAAGTCTGTTGTATCCAAGGCACATAATGAAAGAATCAAATCTCTTATACCAACACCTCGACGCCTGCTTTAGACCATACAGAGATTTGTTCAACCTGCAAACCAAGTTCTTCTTTTCTTTTTCTTCAAAACCTTCAGGCTGGAGCATATAAATTTCTTCTTCAAGATTTCCATGAAGAAAAGCTGTTTTAACATCTATATGCTCTAGATGTAAGTCCAATGTAGCACACATTGTCAAAACTACTCGAACTGTTGTTAGTCGAACCACAGGAGAAATTATTTCATTGAAATCAATACCTTCTTTTTGAGCATATCCTTTGACCACCAGTCTTGCACAATACCTCTCAACTTGATCATCACCATTTCGCTTGATTTTGAAGATCCATTTGTTACCAATTGGTTTCCTTCCTTGTGGTAGTGGCACAAGGTCCCATGTATTATTTTTATGAAGGGCTTCAATTTCTTCTTGCATCGCCATTATCCACAGTGAAGCATCTGAGTTGTTTATTGCCTCCTAGTATGTTGATGGCTCACCGTCCTCTGTTAAAAGGCAGTATGCAATATTACCTTCTATAACATAATCTGAGTGTCAATTGGGACGTCTTCTCACACGATCTGATTGACGAGTTGTTGGAGCTTCAGAACTCTTTGGTTCTTGTTCATCATGTGCTAGTTCTGCTTCAGAGGAATCTCCTTGTTCAAACTCTTTTTCACATGTATCTGAGTAGTCTTTGACTTTTCAGCGTTATCATCATCTTCTTTTCTTTGTAGTTTATCTTCTAAAAAGATAACATCTCTGTTGATGATCACTTTATGGGCAGTGGGATCCCACAAGCGATACCCCTTTACTCCATCAGCATACCCCAAGAATTTGCATTTCCTGGATTTTGGATCCAACTTTGAAATTTCTTGGGAGTTGTACATCACGTAAACTATACTTCCAAATACATGGAGGTTTGAATAATCAGATGGTTTACCAGTCCACATCTCCATTGGTGTCTTCAGCTCTATTGCAGTTGATGGAGCTTGATTCACTAAATAATAGAAGGTATTGATTGCTTCTGCCCAGAATGTTTTTTCTAGGCTTGCATCCCTCAACATTGCTTTTATTCTTTCTAACAAGGTTCTGTTCATCCGCTCTGCTACTCCATTTTGTTGAGGAGTGTTCGCCACTGTGAACTGTCTTTTGATGCCTTCTTTCCTGCAAAAGTCATCAAATTCTTTGCTTGTGTATTCTCCTCCATTATCTGTTCTGAAACACTTGATCTTATTTCCAGAATCAAGTTCCACCCACGCTTTGAAGTTTTTGAAAGTTAAAAACACATCTGACTTCTTCTTAATAGGGTACACCTAACATCTCCTAGAGTAGTCATCAATAAATGAGACAAAGTATTTTGCTCTGCCTAGGGATGTAACTGGTGCAACACCCTTAACTCATATCCGACCCGAATACAAGTCTGAGGTGTCACATTGACTTTTCAAAACCTTGACTCTTATAGAAAATCCCGGGAATTTTTAAAACTTTCATTAAAACGAAATACTTTAATTTACATAAGACCATAAAATACAAAATCGATCAGAGTATTCCTAATTAACACTTATTACATGCCAACACTCTATACATAACCAAGTACATACTTTGTCAATTACTTCTGATCTGATCTCTTAGTAGTATTGATGTATGTGCTACTTCTATTTCCACTTTTCCTGATTCTTGATACCTACGTGTAAATCACTTACACGCTAAGTCATAGACTTAGTGAGGCAATAAATGAATATGCAACAATAAACTTATGAATGTTCATACTTACAAAGTGATCATGACATTTCAATATGCATGTATCTATCGCACGATAACATATAATGCACATACGAAACTTACCTTCTTGTATCACTTTCACTGTAAATCGGTATTTCAATTGCATAGCCCATGTATATTATTGAGATTAGAGGTATGTGAGTGCATTGAGGTTGTGCACTAATGCTGTCACCACAGCTCGTATCTATTCCCTCATGGGGCACCGAACCTTAAGTCAGTATTCATCCCGTATGACTCATACATCCCGAAGGACTATTATACCCTCGACTCTTGGCATGCCAATTACACCTATAATTCTCATATCGTATACTATGGGCATTATTCTTATATTTCATATGTTCATGTACTCATATCATTTCTCTTGTGATCATGTATCTCATATCACTTCATATCATGTTCTCATATCACAGGCCAT